ATTCTCTACGAGGTTGTTTATACTTTTTTTTTTTTCCTCCAGAACCAGGGATTGAACTCAGGCTCTTGCGCTAACTCTCTCTCCCTGGCCCTGGGATACTTTTAACATTCTGCCTAATAAACCTTTCACACCTCTCAAAAAACAAACAAACAAACAAACAAACAAACAAACATCCTAATCCAACCCCATACAAAGTAATTTGTAGTGGGGCAAGAAACAATAATATTCCTACAAGTATGAAAATGATCAGAAAAATATGTCCACAAATAAATGAAAGCATAGCATAGCTCTGAATGAGCAAAATTAAATTTACTTTATTTTTAAAATTTCTTTTGCAGTGCTAGGGGTTGAACTCAGGCCTCACATACACTATACAAGAACTCTACTACTGTGCTATAACCCAGACCTAAAAGAAAACTTTTGATTTTTATTTGAGTAGACTTTCTTTTTTCCCCCGAGACAGGGTCTCCCTATGTAGTTCAGGCTAGGGTCAAACACATGGCAATCCTCCTGCCTTGGCCTACTTAGTGCTAGGATTTTATAGGTGTGCACCACTACCCAGGGCAGAAAAACTTTTAAGTGAAATATGAAAGAACAGAAATAAACATAAGAACAATTAAAATATGCATTACAATGACTCAAAAAAAGAAACTTTTTACAAATGAACACTTTATTAGAAGAAATATAGCCAGATGTGGTGGTACATGCCTGTAGTCCCAGTACTCAGGAGGCTGAGACAGAAGGATCACGTGAATTTGAGGTCAGCTTGGGCTACACAGTGAGAGTCTACCTCAAAAAAACCCACAAGAACAAAAACGAAACAAGACACTGACCACATAGGTACCTTAAAAATAGGAAATTTTAGAAAATAAAAAAAAAGATGAGATAAAATAACAACAGAGAATAGAAAAGCCAACAAACTCATGACAAGAGACATTGAAAAATAAAGTCAAAAGCAATCATACTATACGAATATTATAAGTTGAGCTGCACATGGTTTTAGCTTTTTTTTTTTTTTTTTGTGGAACCAGGGTTGAACTCAGGCCCTTTATTCTGCTGAGTTATCTCCCTGGCTGCACATGGTAAAGATTCGTGCAATGCCAGTACTTGGGAGGCTGAGGCAAGAAGATTGCTGTGAACTGTAGGCCAGGCTAGGCTATAAGTTCAAGGCCAACCTGGACTACATAGCAACATACTATCTCAAAAAACCAAAACACAACCCTATAATTCAAGGGCTAGGGATATAGCTAGGTAGTAAAGTACTTCCTTAGCATGTGTGAGACTCGGGGTTTGATCCCCAGGATCATACAAAATTAAAATTATAATTCATGTTGGCACATCCCTGTGTTCTACCTATTCAGGAGACTGAGACAGGAGGATTATAAGTTTGATGGCAGCATTGGCAACTCTGCAAAATAGTTTCCCAAAATTGAAAATTTAAAAAGGGGTGGGCATGTACCTCAGCGATAGTTCTTGCTTAGTGTGAACTACGTGTTAGATCCTGAGTTCAGTACCCAGTTCCCCCCTAAAACTATTATATGTGTATTTGTGTATCCAAAAAACCCAATGAAGTATAACATTAAATGAAACACATCCTAGGGAGGCTGAGCCAGGCAGATCACTGCAAGTTCAAGGTCAGCTACATTCTAGTTGAATTATGGATTTTTAATTTTTTTGGCAGAACTAGAGGGAACTTAGGGTGTCACATGACAAGTTCTCCGCCACCCAGCAACATCTCCAGCAGAACCATCACCACCATCGTTGATGTCTTGAAACAGGATTTAGCTGTGTAATTTAGGCTGGGCTTGAACTTACTCATAGTGCAGGTTGACCCTGAACTCTTAGGGATCCCCCTGTCTTAGTCTCCTGAGTGCTGGGCATATAGGTGTGCACTACCATGCTTGGCTTTTTTTTTTGGGGGGGGGGTCTTTTTTGAGACAGGGTCTCCTTATGCAGTACAGGATGGCTTTGGGCTCACTTTGTGGCCCAGGCTGGTTTCAAACTAAAGCAATCCCCCTGCCTTAGCCTCCCGAGTGCTAGGATTACAGGTGTATATTATCACATCTGGCTTGGCTTAGTTTTGTTTTATTTTGTTTTGAGATAGGGTCTGGCTATGTTGCCCAGGCTGGTCTCAAACTCTTCAGCCTCCCGAGTAACTGGGACTACAGGCATGTGCCACCACTCACAAGCACTGAATTTAAAATCAGTTATAAAGAAAAAGTCACACTGGCAGTTTATTATTTTATGGTAAATGCTTTATTTGAAATATAATGGAATACTATTTTAAGACACTAATGAAAAAAATGTCAAGTAAGGTATGGTGGTCCATTGAGGCAGGAGGATCACCAGAGTTTGAGGCCAACCCGGGCTAGATAGTGAGTTCAAAGCTGGCCTGGAGTACACAGCAAGACCCTGCCTCAAAGAAAAAAGAAAAGTGATCCAAGATTTTGATACTCAGGGATAGAATACTTGCTTAGGTATAAAGTCAAAAATACGCTGTTTTCATGAGGTAATACTGTCTCCAGAAGCCCCTTCTGAGTATCTAGTCACTAACAAATTATATACAATAGAAATGACTTAGGAGAAATAGGACTGATGGTACTGGTCATCAATTTGATGTTTGCATTACAGAGTGAAAGAATTATACACCAGCCAGGTTTGGTGTTACACGCCTGTAATTTCAGTGCTTGGGAGATTGAGGCGGGAGGATCATTGTGAGTTTGAGTCCAGTCTGTGGTGAGTTCAAGGCCAGCTTGAACTGCATAGTGAGACAGGTCTCAAAAACAACAAAAAAAGAACTAGACACCATATGACCATATGCCCTATTTCAAAACAAAAACTAAGAAATAAAAAAAAAAAAACAGCAAAGTATTTATAAACAAACACTTGAACATTAATTGATATCTGACATCACTAATCACTGTTAATCACCACTAGCTCTTTATTTTTACATTGGGTGTGTGTTTGTATGTGACACTGGGTATCAAGCTTATGGCTTTTGTACTGATCCACACCCCCAAGAGCTTTATACTTTTATTATTTTTATTTATTTTTTTTTTGGGGGGGAACCAGGGATTGAACTTAGGCCCTTGCGCTTGCCAGGGAAGTGCTTATTCCACTGAGCCATCTACCCGGCCCCTATACTTTTATTTTTTTGAGTCAGGGTCTAAGTTGCCCAGGAAGAACTTGAATTTATAATCCTCAGCCGGGGACATCGCTCAGCAGTCTAAGCACCTGCGTGGCAAGCACAAGCACCTGAGTTTGACCCCCAGTACTGTATGCCATGCTGG